CCCCCGCTCACCCTCCCGCCGGCCCACCCGCTCGCCCACTCTTGACTCTCATTGTAGGAGCAACCTTCCTACTATCGAGAAGGCCTGGAAGGTCTTGGATGACGTGGATCTGGTTGTACTGATGATCGACTGTTCCAAGAGCCACCAGACCAATGACGTGGACATCGCCAAGCGTCTGGCCGCGCATCCCTCCAATGTGGAAAAGCTCATCGTCTTCAACAAGGTGCACACCCACCGGGCCGGCCTCACGGCATCGCCTCCTCTGCTGACACCTCTGCCCATGGCCCTCCTGTGGGTGCCCCTGTACTCACGCCTCCCCTCCCCCCGCCCCCGACCCCCCCCCGCCACAGACCGATATCGCCTCCTCCAACAAGGACATGAGCAGTCTGGCCGAGTTCTATGGCTCGATCTTCGCCAATATCCGGCCCAAGAGCTTTGACCTGAAGACGCCGCACGCGCCTCCGCCGCCGGCGCCGCCGCTGGGGTCCGGCGAGTCGGACCCCCTCGACCCCACGCGGCCGCTGTCCGAGCTGTCGGCCGAGGAGCTCAACCGCGTCTTCGGGCCCTTCCCCTCGGTGGCCGATGCGCGCCGGCGCACGGAGCTCCTGCACCAAAACTGGCGGGACTTCCCCCAGGATGACCTGGTCCCGAGCGACCTGCCGGCCTTCGTGGCCCGGCTCCTGCCGACGGAATACCTGACTCAGCAGCCGGCCAACCCGCCGCTCTTCGGGTCGCTGGCCCTGCTGAATGCCCTGATGTGTCCGGACAACCAGTTCCAGCCGCGGCCGGAACTCCTGTGCGCCAGCACGGCGGCCGGGCTGCGGCGCTTCCTGCGCGAGGCCTCGCCCGCACAGCTGGAGTACCTGCGCCTGGATCCCTCGGTGCCGGAGGAATTGGCCCTGCTGGACCAGATCCTGCTGGAGATCCAGCGCCTGGAGCTGCAGGATGACATCGATGTGGTGGACTTCCTGCAGCCGAACAACCCCCGGTGCTCGACCTTCCGCCAGTACTTGCGGGCCATTCTGGTGAACTACTTCCGCGTGGCCCTCAACCGGCACTGGGCCCTGGTGCGGCTCGATTCGACCGCCACACCCGAGGCGACCATGCACCTGGCCAATGTGCCGGAGCCCTACCTGTCGCCGTACTTTGTGCCGGAGCCGGATCTGCTTGTCGGGCTGCCGGCCTTCGAGGCGCTGATGCGGGCGGATGAGCGTGCGGAGCTCGAGGCCGCGCAGCTGTTCGACGACCTGGAGGCCGGCGGGCGGTCCAGCGACTCCGACTCCGACAAGGAGCCGGAGGAGGAGGACGACGAGGAGAGCGACCTGTCGGATGGCCTGGACTCCGACGAGGAGTACTTCGATCCGGATGCCACGCCGGCCGTACGCCGGGCCAATCGGGCCTTCCTGCGGCAGCGCCTGCCGGAGGTCATGTACCCGGATCCACGGCTGCTGGTCAGCATGGCCGAGCAGGTGGAGTTGCTGGATGCCCCGGGGGGCCAGTCGCTGCAGGATTTGCTGAATTCCCTGGACTTCGACCAGGAAGAGGCCCTGAAGTCGCTGGCGGCCGCGGCAGCCGCCCCTGGCGATGCGGCCTCCGACGCCGAGGACTCCGATGAGGCGGAGCTCAACGAGTTGGAGCGCATGGCCGAGCGTCTGTCCAATGAGACGCTGGAGAAGCAGGGCATTGAGCCGCTGAAGTCCGACGAGTGGGACGCCCACGAGCGGTCGGACCTGCGCCTGGTCATGCTGGAGAGGTCGCCTTTGCACCGGATCGACCGGCCGGAGGCGCCGCTCCATTCGGACCCGCGCGTGGCCGACATGCTGCGTGGCCAGCTGAACGTCAACCTGAGTGAGGACCTGAATTTGCACGGGTTCTTCATGATCTCGGCGGCCAAGCAGCGTGGCCTGGACCCGTTGGTGGTGCGTGTGTGCCCCCCTCTGCCTGTGCCCTGTTTCTTTTCTGGCTGGCTGGCTGGTTGGCTGGCTGGTTGGCTGGCTGATTGCAACTTGGGGCTGCTCTTTCTTCTTTTCTCCTTTGCTTTCTCTTCGATCGCCCACACTCACACACACACACACACACACACACGCGTGTGCATGCTCGTCGTACGTGCAGAGGTTCCTCATGAAGCGTGCCCGGCCCGGCCCGTGGGAATATAGCGCGGACGCCTCGACCGATCTGAGCATCGAGACCCGCATCAATGAGATCATCCGCCAGCAGCTCCTGGAGTACACCCATGAGGAGATCCCCTGGGAAGCGCAGCAGGCCACCGTCGGCTGGACCCCGCTCAAGGGATTCCTGCGCATTGACCATGTGCTGACGGTCCCGCGCGAAGCCCACCGGGCCAAAATCGTCGGCCGGAATGGCACCATCCACCGCGCCATGGTGCAAAATGCCTCGGCTCGTATCGAGAAGCTCCTCGGTACGCAGGTGATGCTGGTGCTGCACGTTCGCGTGGCCAAGCGCTCTTGAGACATGAGTGCCTCTCCGTCCCCCTCCCTCTGGGTTCTTTTCTCTCGCCAGTGCGCGAAAGTGCCACGAGGGAGGGCGAGAGAGAGCGAGAGGCAGGACAGCAGAGATGAGCAAGAGTGCGGAGGCCAGGCAAGACGGCCGGCGCAGCCGCCCAAGAGGGCACGGGGCACATACTAGACAGACCGCCAGGGAGGGATCCCTGGCGATCGCCTCCCTTCTCCCTCCCTCTCGCCGCCCCCCCCCCCCCCCCCCCCCCCCC